CAGCAAGTTTTAAGTGAATACTACCCATGCAGTAGTCAACCGCTTTTTGAGTTCTGTAAATCTCCTTTCGCAGTTCTCGTTCCATTCAAACTTAATGTTCTTCTTTGTGAGCCGGGTCAAAGGAGCGGGTAGGCTAGAAAATTCTTCTACAAACCTGCAGTAATAACCTACCATTTTTAAAAAGTTACAAATCTCCTTGACCGAGGTCAATTTTTGCCAACCAAGCACTGCTTTAACTTTTTTAGGGTTCAATGATACTTCATCCCTTGATATGATGTATCCTAAGAAGGTATTTTGCTCGAGTCATAACCCACACTTGCTCAATTTGACATACAATTTCTTCTCCCTAAGAAACTCTAAAACTTGAGTCAGGTGGTGAGGGTATTCTTATCTGCTCTTTAAATAGATCAAGATATCATTGATAAATACAATGATGAACTGATCTAGAAATTTTTTGAAAACTCTGTTTATCAAGTCCATAAAAATGGCTGGTGCATTGGTTAGTCAAAATGGCATGATTAGGAACTCATAATGTCTGTACCTAGTTCTGAATGCTGTCTTAAGAATGTCATCTGCCTTGATTTTTACCTGATGATAACCCGAACTTAAGTCGATTTTGGAGAAGATTTGGGCACTCTGTAACTTGTCAAAAATACCATCAATTCTGGAAAGGGGGTACTTATTCTTGATCGTGGCCCTATTCAATCCCCTATAGTCAATACATAATTTTAACGTTCTATCCCCTTTCCTTACAAATATGACTCCAACACCCTAAGGAGATACACTATGTTAGATGAACCCACTGTCCTGCAATTCATTGATCTATTTTCTCAGTTCTTCCATCTCAACACGGCTTATGCGGTAAGGGACAACTGAAATAGTTGTGTGTCAGGATAAAGATAGAAGGTGAACTCAACTTTTCTGTTTACTGGTAGTCTGAGTAGTTCATTAAAAAATACACTCGAAAAGTCTCATACTACTGTGATATCTTGAATGCAAACTTCTTTCTTAGGTTTGCCTAATGTAGAGAAGAAAATCGAGTTAAAGTATTATGTAATAAGGAAATTGCTATGAGGAAATAACATTTAAAATTTTCATTAACTTGTAAATGGCTCTTCGTTAGGAGGGTTGAATACAAGTTTCTTATGAAAACAATGTACGGTAGCGTGGTACACCACTAACTAGTTCATTCCTAGAATTATATCAAAGTCCTCCGTGTCAATTTCTATCAAGTCCACACTCAATTTTCTATGTGCTATATTTATGATACAAGCTTTGTATATAACCTCCCTTAGTAGTATCCTACTTCCAGGAGTAAACACGAATAACACATAATCAAGTTTTTTTAGTAATACATTTAAGTTTTGTGTAAAAGTATGTGAGACAAACAAATGTGAAGTACCAGTATCAATTAAAACATTTGCAAGGTGATTACAAATAGTGTACGTACCCTGTATCACGTTCGCGTTAGCTTCAGCATCCTACTGAGTGAGGTTATAAACTCTACCCTAGATAAGAGGTTTGACCTGATTCCAATTTTGTGGGTACTCTCTCGCTTAATGTTGGACACTCCCACATATGCGGCATGTATTATTGAGCCGATAGTAGGGTCGGTCTTCATGCTCCTTACCACAGTGCTAGTAAGTCCTACCACGTCTTGTTACCAGAACTTGAGGAGGAGCCTGGATCCATTGTTCTAAGTCTCCTGTTCTGCTGGACTGGTGCAATGGGTGCTAGTATGCGGTGTGAAACCGGGGGTCTAGAATTCTCCACTACTAGAGGAAAAATGTGAAGGTTTCTTTCCACTAACTGTGTTTTAACTAGAACGGC